GGCCACTCCATGTGGTATTAATGGCAACAGCTTGTGGAGGGAGTGGCTTTAATGACAATGGGTTGCTCTATGAGTGGCACTAATAGCACCCAAAAATGGTGGGAATAGCTTTAGTTGCCACAGCATTTTATGTAAGTGGCTGTAAAGACCACAGCATGTTATATAAGTGTCTGTAATGACCATAGCATTTCCTAAACGTAACCTGAATACTGACAGCATGTTGTTGGGTATGTGGCATAATTGGCTAGAGTGTGTAGTGGGAGAAGCTATAGTAGCCACAGCATGTATTGGGAGGGGCTTTAATAGCCACAGCAAGTGGTGGGCGTGTCCATAATGGCCACCGCATTTACTATTAGAAGAGTGTGCATGGTCACCACTAGACCTCTGAATGTATGCTGTGCTATCTGCACCAAGCCATCAGTAGCAGATCCTTTAAGTATGTATTTATACATATATATATGCGTAAAATATCATCACTTTTTGAAAAAAAATTAGGAAAATAGGGGAAAAAATGCAAATATGTGGCACAAAGAACAGAATATACTCTCAAAGAGAATTAAAAATTAATTTTAGGTTTACACAAAGCAATGCAGGATATATGAGTGTTTGGCCATCATTAGAGGGCAAATCGGCAGTGAGTGACATCACCATAGGCTCCATGCACGGAATGACATTACATAGGTTCTGTGTTCTGAGAGACATCACATAGGGTCTGTGTTCTGAATGACCTCACCGTAGGTTGCGTGCTCTCAGTGACATCACATAGGATCTGTGTTCTGAATGACCTCACCGTAGGTTGCGTATTCTCAGTGACATAATATAGGGTCTGTGTTCTGAATGACCTCACCGTAGGTTGTGTATTCTCAGTGACATAATATGGGGTCTGTGTTCTGAGTGACCTAACCAAAGGTTCTGTGTTCTGAGAGACATCACATAGGGTCCATGTTCCGTTAACCCCACCATTGGTTTTGAGAGATATCACATAGGGTTCATGTTCTGAGTGACCTCACCATAGCTTCTTTGTTCTGAGAGACCTCACATAGGGTCATTGTTCTGAATGACCTTACCACAGGTTTTGTATCCTGAGAGACATCACATAGAGTCCATGTTCTGAGTGATCTCACCATAGGTTGTGTATTCTGAGTGACATTATATAGGGTCCCTGTTCTGAGTGAATTCACCATAGGTTCTGTGTTCTGAGAAACATCACCTAGGGTCCATGTTCTGAGTGACCCCACTATTGGTTCTGAGAGACATCACATAGGATCCATGTTCTGAGTGACCACACCAAAGATTCTGAGAGGCATTACATAGGATTCGTGTTCTAAGTGACCTCACCATTGGTTATGAGAAACATCACATAGGGTCCATGTTCTGAGTAACCTCACCATAGATTCTGTATTCTAAGAGACATCACATAGGGTCTGTGTTCTGACTGACCTTACCATAGGTTCTATGTTCTGAGATACCTCACATAGGGTGCGTGTTCTGAATAATCTTACCATAGATTCTGTGTTTTGAGAGACATCACATACGGTCCATGTTCTGAGTGACCTCACCATCAGTTCTGAGACACATCACATAGGGTCCATGTTCTGAGTGACATCACATAGGGTCCATGTTCTGAGTGACCTCACCGTAGGCTTTGTGATCTAAGTGACTCCACCATAAGCTCCATGTTTTGAGTGACATCAGCATAGACACCATTGTTCAGTAAAACACACTCGGAATTTTACATCTGGGATAATATTCACGACCACTACAGAGAGCAGCTGGTAATATAATTCTTGGCACAGGTATTGTTCTTGTTGAAACATGCATAACTTAAACAGGTTCTAAACAGGCAGATGTCTACTCAGAACTAAAAATAATAGGCAATTAAATAAAACCTGGATTGTCTTTTCATCTCTCTCCAAACGTCACTGTGGCATGTACAAGCTTTCCAATGAGACTCGCACACCACCAGTTTTTGCTGGAGAATATTCAAAGTTCAGCAATTGGTTTCACTTGTTACTTAACATTGATTCTAAAGTGGATCTGCACTCAAATGAACATAATTACATTCACAAAAAGATTTAATTGCAGGTCTGCACATGCTAAGGAGCACTACTGTATGGCTTCATGTCCTGAACTTGCTGCTTAGCCCCACTCTTTCTTTCTCCTACGTTTTGCCATTGGTCAGTTAAGCTGCCTATTATGTGGAATAGAACAAAACAAGGCTTAAAGTACACCTGCCATCACAGAAGGACAGAGACTACCAGTGTTGGTTGCCTCCTCAAAAGGCTTGTTGCCTGTTTATGTCTAGCTTTAATACTTTAAAAACTTGGAACAAGTGAGTCATAAATGTGCAACTTTGCAGTTGAACAAGAACAGGAATCACCAGGATTTTCCTGGGGACAGCTATAAAATTTTGGATTTCCCCTCACCTTTTGTCTCTTTGACAGTGATCACCAAGACAAATGGGAGAATCACCCTGGCGGGGACACAGACAGCATTAAAGACATGATAAAGGGTCAAACCCTTCCACAATCTATCCAAAACTAGAAATAAAATTGCCTTTATGTACACTTTAAAAAACAAATAGCATACAATAAATAAGGACCTTAGAAGTGCCTTCTATGTACAGTTATCAGACATTTTGAAGGAACTTCTAGATATGGTTAGATATAGCATACAATAAATAAGGACCTTAGAAGTGCCTTCTATGTACAGTTATCAGACATTTTGAAGGAACTTCTAAGTATGGTTAGATATAGCATACAAATAAATAAGGTCCTTAGAAGTGCCTTCTATGTACAGTTATCAGACATTTTGAAGGAACTTCTAAGTATGGTTAGATATAGCATACAATAAATAAGGACCTTAGAAGTGCCTTCTATGTACAGTTATCAGACATTTTGAAGGAACTTCTAAGTATGGTTAGGTATAGCATACAATAAATAAGGACCTTAGAAGTGCCTTCTATGTACAGTTATCAGACATTTTGAAGGAACTTCTAAGTATGGTTAGATAAAGCATACAATAAATAAGGACATTAGAAGTGCCTTCTATGTACAGTTATCAGACATTTTGAAGGAACTTCTAAGTATGGTTTTAAAAAGAAGGAATGATATGTGGCAGTTACTTTTAAGCACTGATTTTTTTTTTCTCTTCCAAATAGCAGACTTTAGTCAGGTACGGGAATCCTCTGCAGTTGTCGAAACTTATACTGCATGCTTGTCTCACAGGAAATTCTGCCTGCAAGAGGACCATTCCACTCACATTGTTTCCCGTAATGCTGGTGCACTTAGATTCTTACTGACATAGTCTATCAGAAGGGTCAAGGCAGTCATGCAGGCCTCTGCCCTATAAGAGGAACACAAGGCCAGCTGCATACGCATTATCATTTACTCAGCTGTACTAACCGGTCTGTTTCCTGACAGCTCCCACAATAGTCCTCCATCAGCAGAAGAAGGTTCAGCATCCAGGAATAAAATCTGATGGAGACTTAGGGAGCTACTCCGTAAAAGAATACTTTATAATTATTTATTTTTTATGGTGGCACAAAAACAAAGTTTATTTTGGGCGTTAAGAGGTGGCAAAACATACATAAGTCACTTTTAAGGCCAACACTTGAATATGGACTATAGGTGGTGGAATTCAGTTCAAAATATTTCATTTAAGAACATTCGCCCGATCGTTAGTGGTGTTATATCGACGTTGGCTTTCGACCATAGTAAAGAGAAAAATTGAAGGAGCGAGATGGAAATTTTTTCTTGAACAATCAAATTTCCAGCAGTGTATGTGGTTTTTGTTCAGGAAATTACAATCATTCCAAAATTGAATGTTACAAAGCAAAGAAAATTTTGAAGTACTTTCGTCTACTTAGATTAGATGTGGAGAGAGAGGGGGAGGAGTCACCGCTCTGCCTCATTCAGTTGTGTTTTTATAGCAGAATTTCTCTCTCACAATCAACATTGCCTATTTTTTTCTACAGCCAGTAACCCCCCCCATCATGTTATCCTCTGTATCCATACACACATAGACTGTAATCAACGTTTTTTGGCTGGAAATAAAACCCAGAACTAGTGGGTTTCTATTGGAGTTTTTTAGCTGTAAAAAGGCTCTAACGCAGCAAAATGTGGTAAAACGCCGCAAATCAGCGTTTTTGGACTTTTTTTGGTACAAAAAACCCCACTAAAATTGGAAGCGTGGAAACGCAGGAAAAACACGGCTAAAAACACTAATGCAAAGACGCTAAAAAAAGCTGAAAAACTCATGTTTTTAACGTGACTTTACACAGCTAAAGTTACCAGCGTTATTAAAACACCCCGTGTGCATGGAGCCTTATGCTGCTAGAAATAGTAAATAGATAGGAAAGTATATCATATTTATTTCTTTTAACCTTTTTTGTATTTCTGGTTCTTAGTTCTAAGCAAATGATGTGTACATCCCAGGAGTATTCAGAAGGGCTTTTGCCAACTAAGCACACCCACCTGCCTTCATGCCTGAACTAAAGGCAGATGGTTCCAGGAAGTAAATGTTACATGAATCATCTGCCCTTACTCAAGATAGCCATTGACAGAAATACTAGGGGGGTATTTTTCAAAGTGATTTCTCAGCAAAATAAAGCATGGAGATATAAATAGATGGGGGGTTTGATTTGAATATTAAAAATCATTTAAACAGCGTTTTTGGTTTGTGGTGCTCAGATCAGTGTAGCTTTAAGAGTAAGGCAGTGCTGCTTTAAGAGTTAGGAACTGAGAATAAAACTATCGATAAGACCAGAACTTCTTCTGGGGGTATCAAATAATGATTCTCTCTACTGTAAAGAGATGCACAATTAAACTGTACTGTATAAGACAACAAAGTCTACTGTATAACTGAATCTCTCATGAAAAATTATAACACATAACAAGTCCAGCTCTGATTTTTCTCTGCTGCAGTTAAAGTGTTACTAATTCCAGGACCCTGCATTCCCTATATCTGGTCTCCCCGGACCCTGCATTCACTATATCCGCTCTCCCCGGACCCTGCATTCACTATATCTGGTCTCCCCGGACCCTGCATTCCCTATATCTGGTCTCCCCGGACCCCGCATTCACTATATCCGCTCTCCCCGGACCCTACATTCACTATATCTGGTCTCCCCGCACCAGGCATTCACTATATCTGCTCTCCCCGCACCAGGCATTCACTATATCTGGTCACCCCAGACCCTGCATTCACTATATAAGTTCCCCTTGGACCCTGCACTCACTATATCCAGTCTCCCTGGACCCTGCATTCACTATATCTGGTCACCCCAGACCCTGCATTCACTATATAAGTTCCCCTTGGACCCTGCACTCACTATATCCAGTCTCCCCGGACCCTGCATTCCCTATATCTGGTCTCCCCAGACCCTGCATTCACTATATCCGCTCTCCCCGGACCCTGCATTCCCTATATCTGGTCTCCCCAGACCCTGCATTCACTATATCCGCTCTCCCCGGACCCTGCATTCACTATATAAGTTCCCCTTGGACCCTGCATTCACTATATCTGGTCACCCCAGAACCTGCATTTACTATATAAGTTCCCCTTGGACCCTGCACTCACTATATCTGGTCTCCCCGGACCCTGCATTCACTATATCTGGTCTCCCCGGATCCTGCATTCACTATATCTGGTCTCCCAGGACCCTGCATTCACTATATCTGGTCTCCCCGGACCCTGCATTCACTATATCTGGTTTCCCACAGTACACACAACATAGAAATGCAATTATTGTAGTAAATATAACTGCTAAATACCTTTTCTCATCAGCAGTTGGAGCAGTCTTGTGATTTCAGAAGAGCACCGGTTAAAGCTTGTAGGAGGAGTTTTCTTTCTGCTCTAGGAGGATGTAAAACCCCTGACCTCTGTCTGGACAGTGCTGATTGGCCCTGTCCTGATCACATGCACTCTCCCAAGAAGAAAAAAAAAACCTCTCTAGCAATACACACCAAACTGAGCATGTGCATGTGACTATGGATTCAATCTGTATCAGGTGGTCATTTCAACAAGGGGAGGGGCAGAGAAGACAGGATCAAACAGCCTTTTTACACAATACAGAGGATTAACCCCTTAGGTCCCACAGTGAGTATAACAAGCATGCTTTACTGCATATACAGACCGATTGTACTGTTGTGGGTTTAGTAACACATTAAGTAACTCAGGTGTCCTTCTTATCCCCAGTAACTGGACAGTGAAAGGAGAAGCAGCAGAATGATGAGCTCATCTCTTTGTCACTCTACTTTCTCTTCCTATCAGCACACTCCTCTCAATGTAGCACAGCTGATTGGCTCATTGTGCTGCTTGCTCTCTCCTCATTCTCAGCTATGCTGTACAAGGACTGCAAGAGGTCAATATCAGGACAAATACACGTATTTAAGCTGCTTGTATTTTTTAAAAAATGCATATAATGATGTATCGACGACTGTAGAGCTGCATTGTTTGACATCTTTTATATCTGCCTGGAGTTTGGCTTTAAACAGTGATCTCCAGTCTTTAAACACAACACTGAGTCTGGCTCAGATATTCTCTCTGATCTTCTTTACTCCAGACCCAGCGATTTGTAGTACCAGATAAAGCCCTTAGCGAATGTCGTGATTCACGTTCTTTGGACCACCTTGACATGATTAGACTGGAGTGAGTTAAACATCAAGGCTCAGGATCTAAGTTTAGCATTCAGCTGAACACTATGTTTTTGAAGTGGACCTAGATCTCATCAGCCTTGTGCAGTCATGTATTTTTTTTCCCTTTTATTTTATCAAGCTAAGTCTTCAACAATCTTTCACAGCAGGCTTCTAAATACTTATATCTGTTTAATTCAACACAGCCCACGGACCTTTTCTTGTTACTCCTCTGTACTTTCTCTTCCAACGGCTGGATTTCCAGCGGAAGATCGCTATCAAAACTATAACAAGACTTTCCTTTCAAGAGACCGTGAAGCATATTCCAAGGTGTAGCTTTCATTTTGGTTTGATTGTAAAGCGATGCCCGTAGCGAAAAGAAAGAAAGAGAAAAATAGCGCAGGGCAGACATGACTAGGTGAAGAGGGGGTAGGAAAGACAGGAAAGGGTTAAGTAAAGGTGGGAGTTAGTAATACATGCAGGTTACCTGATTGGTGACAAGTCTGCTGGGTGGGGTCTTCGACACCTTGCTGTGTGGTTGGTGGGGTCAGTCAATTCAGTGTAGGAGTGGCATCGGTGGAGCAAGCTTCCTTCCCACCCTCCCTTGGGGTTTGTTTGGGTGTTTTTGGGTTCCCCGTTTGTTCTGGCTTCGGGGGGAGGTTGTTGGTCTTTGGAGGCGGCACATACTTTTAAGCTAAAGCAAATGGTTGGGACCCATCGGTGGTATGGTGTGCCCGGGTGTATTCCAGTTAACCGAGGTTTAACCGGAAGGTGGAGGTTCTGCACTGCGGATGGTATGTTTTGTCTCCGAGCCGGTGTGTTGAGGCTGGAGGCCTAGTATTATAATACAGGTTCCGCATGGGGGATATCAGATTTGTTTGGTGCCTTCGAAGACCAACAACTGTATGTTTCTGTTTTAAGAAATGTTTTGTGTATTTAAGTTGAATTGTTAATAAAAGGCTGTGTTGGCCATTTTTAATCCAACGTGTTTTGGTTTTCTTTATTGGTGTGTTTAAGGGGGTATTTTGAGAAAGAAAGAGAGAGATAGTGGTGTAGGGGGGTCTTAACTAGCATATCTAGTCAAGCCATCAAATATCATTCAGAGGGATTTAGCTTTGGTAGCAGAGACATTGAATGGCTGATTTGCCATGGATGGGAATCAGTGACTCGAGAGGAATGTATTCTAGATGTCTTTCAATAGAACTGACATTAAAAGGTAAAACAAACGCACACACACAGTGGTTGAAAAGGGCTTCCAGTTCTACAAACAGCAGTATATCTAAGACCAGATGTAATCACGCAGTCTGAGGTTCTAGAAGCCGCCTGGCCATCAGGGAGGGACTGGGCTGGGTGGGAGAAAGGAAATTGTGCCCCTTGACCAGTACTAATGAGATAGGTGAGGCTGGTGGCCCTAAGTGCACATGCTTCACCATTCAAAGATTGATCAGAGTGGACGCCACAGTCGGTGACACTTGCTGAGTATTATATAGCTACCTGCACCCTGTTCAGACCTGTAGTCACAGTGGGAGGTCTTCCAGCACTAACTTTCTTTGTGGCTTTGAGATGTGATAGAATGCTAAGAATTGCAAAGGAAGATGTGAAAAGGTGTGTCATAATCAGCTATATCCTTTAGGAACACCCATTTTTTACCATGCCCATCAGTCAGTGAAGCACCTTGGCATACCTTGCATGGTACACTTTTTTTTAGCTGACAGAAATCTGTCCCTACCACAAAAGAACCCATTATTTACATTTACAGTGGTGTTCAGAATGCCTCCCTTTCAGTAGTGTTCAGTAAGAAGGGTGCTCCCTTACATTGGTGTTCAGTGGAAGAATACCATCTTCTGGTGGTCAGGATGCCACCCTTACAGACAGCTAAAAGATCATTGGTGCCCTGCTGCTGGCTCTGCCAAGTGGCAATGTCCAAGGAACTATGAAGAAACCATCAGATGGGAGGTCTATCAGCCACAGCGCAAGGAACCCCTAACAATCTCTGGAAGAACCCTGGTTCAGAATGGTTGCTGTAGAGGGAGAACCTACATATTTGGCAATGACGTGGTCAAAAAAATATGGAAGCAAGCAAGTCAAATCGTGAAAATTGTGTCAAATTTTATTTCCAGGTAACTTTTAATATGAAATGAATATGTTCTGGAAAAGATTCACTTTTGAACAGTTTCCTGCATAAATGTGAGCTGATTGGTTGGTTTACTTCTTAATTTCACAGTACAAAATGTCTATCTAAACTAGTATTCCTCAACAGGTCTGCCTGAAGCACATTCACACACCTTCTGACTCGAGGTTATTGTATATTGCCATCTAGATCTGGCCCTCTTGGTCATAGCAGCAGTGCCAAAACACACAAATTAATATTCCTTTCACAAACAATCCTTGCGCCGGTTATGGGCAATTGAACGTAGTCCATGCTGAAAATTGACACAGGGCTGGAGCAGGAGATAAAAGATATTTATGAAAGTATCTGGGTTTTAGATATATATTTCTGATGAAGCTCTGGCGTTGAGCACATTGTTGACTCAGCTTTTTGTGTTTTATAATGTCTTTACAAAATTGTTGGATGAAAAAAGAAAACAAATTCCATTGTGAACCTGTTTATCAAATTGGCTTTAGATAGAATGGGCATGTTCTCTGTAGCTCTCCTATAGGCCATTGTTTCCAGATTACAGATCAGGGTCTTCGTGGTCCTCAAGGACAAGTGCCAAGATTTCAGATCAAAGATGATATTTATTCTTTACCAACTCCAGCCAAAGCTTTTTTTATGTCATGAATAGATCAATGAAGGGTTAAAGCCTCTGTTGGATTTATTTTGCTGTCTCTGTCACGATCTGAAACGTTCTGCTTAATTTCTATCACAGCACCAAATGACAAGAAATCTCCCTAATGGGGGCATTGACAAAAGCAAGTTTTTAGTAGCTTGGGGAAAGCCTAGCACCTCTAACATTGTTATTCTTGCATGTACCTTGCTGTTCTTGTAAGATTTCTTCTTTGGGTGTCACAGGGGCTGGAAGCAAGGGGAAATCTCCCCATTGGGATCACAGACAGAAAAAAACTAACTTCAGCCAAGAATCAGATCAGGATGCACTGCTGAGATACTAAATAGATCTCATTTTTACCTTGTGCACCTGGTTCCCTAAAACCTGTACTAAGGGAAATAAATGGGTTGTCATCGTTAACCTTTTTCTGAAAATGCTAGCTTCCTAGTTGTCTCTGCCATTAATATTTTCTGAAGGAACTGGTCTGGAACAAAACCTAAACTCAAACAAATGGACCAGAACCACAGAAGCCATGTAACCAGTATGTTCATAATGGGCCTCAAATGAATCAAAGGTCTCAGCCCTCCAGACTCCACTCAGAGCTAAAATCTTGAATTTGGGTGGCCTAACCCTTGTAGTCAAAACCAGAACACTTTTGTCCAGCACTCAGAACAATGATGCAGAACTTCTCCCCCCTCTTCCCAATTCTAATGTATGCCATAGAAGAGGTATACCATCCTAGGCCCATTCTCTGCCCCCTTTCCTCTGCTGTTCATTGTTAGTATGGAGTGTGCACTGCACATGTTTTGAGTAATTGCTTGCTTTCTAGCAACTAGAAGGTAGTTGCACATGCAGGGTGTGTTTTTCTGTTAATGGTGGGCAGATGGGATGAAGAGTGGGCGCATTGGAGCATAGCAGGCCATGAAGCCATGGCCCCGTGAATGCTAGCCACTGATTTGGAGCTTGCAAGTGCTGCGCCTTGGATGGCTGCCTCTCCTGCCCACCCATTGTCTCAACCCTGCTTGTAGAACTTGCAGTTGAATCATGAAAGAAGAACTGGAGATGTACTGTACATACAATAGGTCTTTCTAGTTTTTGTGAGCATGACCGGGAATAATGAGAGTGTATGCACTTTATGATGTGTTGGCAAATGTATGTAGAAATGCGGGCGAATCTGAGACTCATCGCTTTGGATTTCCAGCCCAAAATTGACAATCTGTAGAAAGTTCTCCATGCATCTCCACAAGGTTCGATT